AGTGCTCACTACCCCATGGACCTCGTTCACTTCATCCTGGTCATGCTGGCCCTGAGGCCGCAGCAGTTCAGCATGCTGGTTTTCCTCTCCATACTGTTTGTGACCTCTGGGCACACGCTCTATCTCTCTCTTTTTTTAAAGATTTATTTATTAAGAATACAACATCCTGCCTCCATGTCTGCCTACATGTCAGCAGAGGGCACCAGAACTTATTATGGATGGTTGTGAGCCACCATGTGGTTGCTGGGAATTGAACTCAGGACCTCTAGAAGAGCAGTCGGTGCTCTTAACCTCTGAGCCATCTCTCCAGCCCCGCTCTATCTCTTTTATGCGAGAAAGAGTAAGACTAAGAAGGCCGGTGTGACAAAGGCATCTGGGAAGGCACATGGACACCCCCACCTGAGGGGGAGGCAGCACTCCTTAGTGGTCTGGGCAGCCCTGGACCCAGAACCCACACAGCGTTTCCAACCGTTTTGTGTACCTCTTGTGTCTTTGCTACCGCTGAGAGCAAATGTGTCATTTTCTGCCAACGACATCACCCTGCCTCTGGCTATCTTCCTGGTTATTATCCTGAGGGTCAAGGGGGAAAACTTGAAGGACCCATTAACAGAAGTCAGAAAGATCTTCCTGTCAGCTCCTTCGAGGGACTGGTTTTAATTCTGCCAGGATAAGAAAAAAAAACTTCAGTGTCAGGGCTGGGGATGTAGCTCAGTTGGCAGAGTACTTGCCTTGCCTTGCATGGAACCCTGGGTTCAACCCCCGGCCCTACTTAAAAGCTGGGTGAGCCGTGGCACATGCCTTTAGGGAGGCAGAGGCAGGTGGATCTCTGTGAGTTCCAGGACACCCAGAGGTACATGGAGTGGCCTTGTCTCAATAGAAGTAAGTAAAATAAAAATTGGGTGTGGTGCCGTAAGCCTGTGATCCCAGTTCTTGGGAAGCAGAGGCAGGAAGACCAGAAATTGAAGGTCAGCCTCTGCTACACTGGATCTCAATGACCCATGAGGCTACGAGACCCTGCTTTATCAGGGGGAGGGGAACTCAGGGTTCTCATAGCTTATTATTATTTGGGAGCTAAATTTAATCAGAGCAGTCTGGCCCATGTTCTAGCCAGACATAGGGCACAGTCACTGAGGTTTAGTCGTGGCTATTTGGGTAAGAGTTTGCTGTTCCTCTTGGCTGATGTGCTCTCTGGTTAAGTGTCCCTCGTGAAGTGATGCTATTTGCTGGAGACAAAAACAGTCTTCACCTAGTTTACAAACCTTGGGCTAAGCCAGAGGTTTTGTGGTCTTGTTAGGGTCTGAGAATCCGAAATAACCTAAGCAGAGTCCACACAAAGCAAGACAGCACTGAACTGGACAGCAGGAAAATGAGGGAAAGGGAAAGAAACTGACAGGCCAGGGACAATGTCACACACTCAGGAGCCGACTGTGTCCACGCGTGTTCGTTTCAGCAAGTGTGTAAGCACAAACCCACAACCACCTGTGCCAAATTACACAACTTCCCAACAATCAAAATTCAGGGACTAGGGACTTTCCTTATGTGGTTCATCTATGTCAAACGTACAACCAGTCGAATTTACTTGTTCTTTGTCATTAGAAACATCTACTGTTTGTAAGGAACAATTGAAGAACAAGTTATTTTGCAGGTTATTATTATTTAATGAGGAAGCTGATCAGATATTAGAAAGTCCCCAGCTCCCCTAGGGCCTAGGAACTTGAACTTCACCTTATGATTGAAATGGAGTCTGGAACAAAATGGTGGTACTTAGGCTAGGTTTCTTTTGTCTGTTCCTAACAGTCTGGTAGTGAATATGAGCAAACCTCACTTTGTCAAGCTAAGACCAACTCTGAGTGAGAAGCCATGTAGTTTGCAGTGACTATGGGGCATTTTTGATTACTTACCATTTAATCAACACTAATTAATTCTAGCTTTTTGCCGGGCATTGGTGGCGCGCACCTTTAATCCCAGCTCTTGGGAGGCAGAGGCAGGCAGATCTCTGTGAGTTCGAGGCCAGCCTGGTCTACAAGAGCTAGTTCCAGAACAGCCTCCAAAGCCACAGAGAAACCCTGTCTCGAAAAACCAAAAAAAAAAAAAAAAAAAAAAAAAAAAATCTAGCTTTTTGAGGAAACTAGAAAAAAAAACCCTGTATCTCTCTAGGCTTGAAATAGTGATTAATTACAGTTTTATGTGTTATACAATATGAGATCATCTGGAAGAGAAAGCAATAGGGCTAGCAATAAAGCCCCCTTAGGATTCATATTTTAGGGAACCTCTCTGTGTGGCAGGAGTAACCTGTAACATTAGTGCCTAGGCAGGTGGGTGGGGAGCAACATTCTCTTCTCTCTCTCTCTCTCTTTTTTTTTTTTTTTTTTTTTGAGACAGGGTTTCTCTGTATTATTTTTGAGGCTGTCCTGGAACTCACTCTGTAGACCAGGCTGGCCTCGAACTCACAGAGATCCACCTGCCTCTGCCTCCCGAGTGCTGGGATTAAAGGCGTGCACCACCAACACCCTACCCAAGGGGAGCAACATTTTCTAAAACTGCATTTATCAACTTCTGCACTATGGACATCTCAGGTCAGAGTGTCCTTTGTTGTAGGGAGGGGCTTCCCAGGTAGGATATCTTGTAACATCTATGGTCACTACCCACTAGATGCTCATCCCTCATCCAGTGATGAAAATCAAATGCCTCCAAATATTACCAAGTGTTTCCCCAGTTAAGAGCCCCTGTTTAATAAAGTGTGAAAACCAAAGGAAGAATCCTCTCACTGTTAGCAGAATGACAGGCTGGGAGTGTAACTCCATGGGAAATCACTTTGCAGGAAGGGGCAGTGGTTCAGGACAGGGTTTCTCTGTTGTAGTCCTGGCTGTCCTGGAACTCACTCTGTAGACCTGTGGCCTTGAACTCATAGAGTTCAAGTGCTGGGATTAGAGATGCGCCACCATGCGGGGTTGGAATAGCATGCCTGAGCCCTGGGGTTTAATTCCTACCATCTTACTGAAGAAAGTAAGATGTCATTAGTAGCAAGAAAACTACAGAAGGGAATCTTCACAAGACTGCTTTTTGGAGTAGTTAAGTGAAAATGAGGGAAAGAGAATTTTGTGAAGCATTTTGCTTAACATAAGGTCTTGAAAGAAAGAGAAAAAAGAAAGAAAGAAAGAAAGAAGAAAAAAGACCACCTCCCCCGATTTCCCTCCTTCTGTAAAAATGCCTGGAAGACTACATTACTACACACACACACACACACACACACACACACACACACACACACACACACACACGAGTAAATGAAGGAACCAGAATGAGTCTGCATCTGTTTTTCACTAGGGAAGCTTGTACTTTCAAGCGGCATCATGCATTAAATGTTGGCTCTTGATTTTCCTAACAAGCACACAAGTGTTTATGCAGACTGGGCGAGGACAAAAGATTGCTTAACAAATATACTTAAGTCTTTTATTTAACATCTCCAGGACTACAATTGCATGAAATGATTTGTGCCAAGCAGAACTGGCTTCCCTTGCCTCTCAAATTCTACCCTGGGAAGATAGCTGCTTCCCTGCAAATCCTTTATCTCAAGTGCTAATTTACCCTTCCTTGAGGTTCTGTGTGGTGGACCAGCAACGTCGCTTTAACACTGTGGGCCACTACTTATTGTTTGCTTTGTGTATTAGACCAGTATTGTTCAACAGAAATACAATTCAAGTCATATTTGCATGATTCCAAAATGTTTCATTCAATCCAATGACAATCACTGTAAAATTGAAATCTTTTAGTTTCCATATTCCCCACATCTGGTTCATAAAACATAGTACACAGCAAATATGCCAGTCACGTTTCAAGTATTGAATTGTCACATGTTCATGGTAGGTTGATGACCCGTGTACAGTGGGTACTCCTCTAGAGGTCCTGTTCAGTGTTAATGGTGTCATGCTTCATTCTGTTCCCAGAAACAAATCAGGGGGACACACACCAAACATTTCTGAGTTTGATCTCTTTGTCCTGGGGATGCAGATGTCAGTGGTGGAGGGACTTTTGGCTCCTTGCAGTTACAGTGAGCTCTGTCAGGAAGCTGTCTAACATTGGTTCTATGGGCTTTGATAAACCACAACTGTATCACAGAATACTGGGCTCAGAGCTCTTCAGATTATAAATACAAGGTAAATCCTGCAAAGGCAATCTGAATAAAAGCAAACTCTTCAAGCACACCCGGCGGTTGCTGTTCAATCCCATGTTTTAGCTTGCCTTCAGCTTGACATCCAGCTGAGCACAATGCCTGCCCTCTCTGGAGCCAAAGGCAGCCATCCTCACTTTACCTAGAAACTCCTTTATCCAGCGCTGAGATTACCGGAAAAGTACCCCCCACTCTTGGGAAGCCTGGAGTGTAGATTGGCTGCTCCCTTCTGCTTTGAAATGAGGCTGCACCATCACAGCCACTTTCAAAAGCTGGCTCTTCACTGTTAGGGAGCTCAGAGGCAAACAAGCCCCAGCTGACATGAAATCTAATTGTGATTTCCCTGTGGTCTTCTTGCTGGGCTTTCATTCCCTCTAATTACTGTACTATTCAGTTATCTGTTGATAAACCATCTCAAGCTATTGTGGCAAACCAAATCTTTGACCCAAAATCCCTTTTGGCAAGTTCATAGATGTTGGCTAACCAACCCCACTGTACATGGCCAAATGGGTGTGTGGCACTCATATATATAGTTCTCTCTACCTCAAGACACGTATCTGCCAATCTAGTAATTTTAAAGACCTTCCAGTGGGGTTGGAGATGGCTCAGCAGATAGCACTGACTGTTCTTCCAAAAGACAGATTTGGCTCTCCTGACACCCTCTGAAGATACTAGTAATATATGCAGACAAAAGTTATGCACATTAACTATCTCATGTTTGTGTGTTTTGCCTTTATGTATATGCACCTCAAGCATGTGTGTGGGGGTGCAGAAAAAGGCATCCCCTGGAACTTATATGTTGGCGTAATGAAACCACAGAACAAGACCATTCCAGACAGGAAAACTTTATTGGAAACCAGCTGTAGGGCTGCCACCAGAGCAGAGCAGCTAGGGAGAGGTTAGGTTTTCCAGGGACTTCGAAGGTTTAGAGCAGATTTCTTCCTTATGGGTGGATAAGTTTTTGCTTTTTTCTTTTATGGGCAAAAACAGAAGCCCCGGTCAGGCCTCCACCTGATGCAATCAGGCTGAGTTTATGGCGGTCCCCGGCCAGTAACAGTTGGTCATTTAGGGAGAAATAGGGGTTCTGAAAAAGTTTGGGTCTACTAACAACTATCTGCCCAGGTTAAGTTCAGGCAGCCATGAGAGCTACATTGCATAAGGGGGACAATGTTTTTCTAATTGAGCAGGGTTGATGAGGGGCCAAGGCAGGTTAGGCTGGCATCTGAAGGAAAGAGCCAGGTGTACTCACCATCAGGAAAAGCCCATGACTTTTCCCTAGAAGAAAAACCTAGAAACAAAGAACATATATTATGAGAACCGTGGCTGAGGGGGAGAGCCAGATCCCTGCACTGGAGTTGGCTAGTTTGTGGGCCTACTAAGTAAGCTGTTTTATACTCTTCCACTGGGCCAGACTTGTTCTATAGTAACAGCATTGCACTTCTCGGTACTGAAGTCAGTAAAATTGGGATTTGCTTCTGGTCATGATGCCAGAGCCGGAAACTAGTCAGTTGTAAGGCCCGGGTTGCCTCCTAACAGTGCCTGCCAGTTGGGTGGAGGAATGTTGAGATAAGCACTGACTGTGACCACCCCACCACACACCAACAGACCCACAGGAGCCACGGCGGCCGCAACTTACTGCAGTCGTGTCTGGGAGAGCCAGCGCTTTACAGCTCACGTCCAACTTCTTTTCTCTAGAGGGCATCTACCCGGGCAGTGGAGAACCACAAAGCTGGTCCGGTCACCTCCACTACAGCCAACTAAGACTGACAGGGCTGGCACTGAGCCAAGACACCAAATGGATCCCAAACACCCCACTCTCCTGAGGACACAATTCTGAGTTGCCAAAGTCTAGGGCTAGAGACTGTCCAGCAGTCAAAAGCCCTAGCTGGCTGCTCTTCTAGAGAACCTAGTCTCAATTCCCAGCACCCACATAGTAGCTCACAACTGAAACGCCAGTTTCAGGAGTATCTGATGCCCTCTTCTGGTATCCATGGGCACTGCAAGCCCATGTAGGCAAGATAAGAAAAATTTTATAAATTAAAAATAAACTTTCTATAGTGCATGAGACTGTCTCAAATTCATGCTCCCACTATGAAGGGGACAAAGAAACTGAAAACCCAAATTCCACCTACAATTGCATACCTTTCCTTCTCCAAGTTGCACCAGCTCATCTCAAGCATCGGAGCTGTATGAGAAAATGAACAGAGACAATTAGTAATAGTCCCAGTTTCAAACGCAAAGCCATCCCGCCATTCTTCCTCCCTCCCCTTAACTACAGAGGTGGTGTGGCTGCATTAAGTCCTATTAAGTTGGCCTCAGGTAAATCCTTTAACCCATCAGAGCAGCGTATTTAATCAGGTTAGAGTTCTCATCCTTGGCCAAGAATTCTGTTCCTGGAATTATGCCGGGACAAGTCAATCTTTTTCATTTAACTCATACCTTGTGTTCATTAATATCCCGGGCGTGGCACCACAGCAACTGCTTAAAAAAAAAAAAGGTCAACAATGTTTCAAGTACCAGGCAGTATTGTTTTCCCCCCTTAAACACAGGCGTGCACACAACCTTTCTTGGAGCTCCTAGCTGCCTTTGAGATAGAAGTCCTGCCCCGGAACAGCACTCCTGTATAATTCTGTGATCGTTACATTTCTGACAGTGGGGAGGCGATTTTACTCCCTGTGCCATTGTTCCAGCTTAATCCGCAACATAATCACATAATTTATCAAATTTAGAAACAAAATGACTAGCTCTAGTATTTTTCTCGGCAAAAGTTGAAGCACTTTCATCGATTTCAAAATCAGAAAGCAGCTGAAGCTTAACAGGGAGGTGAGAAACCACAGTCCTAGAACTTGTGTCCATAGCCCTTAGACCGTCGCTCCTGCTGCCCCTCACTCCAGGCTCTCAGGCTTGTGTGAAACAGAAAGGCTCAATGGAACCCTAAAGGAAACAAAACTACCACGGCAGGTCCCTTTGCTGCAGCACAAGGAACACCGGATAGTTGTTTGTGAGAGCCCACAAGATTTCCCCTCTAAAATGGGCTTCACCGGGCATAGTTGTTCCCCGTACCGCTGTATCCATAAATTCCAGCACTTAGGGTACCGGGGCAGAAAGATTCTCCGGGCCACCGTGAGAACCCATCCAACAAAGATCGCCTCCCAACAGAAAACCAAGTGTAGCCTTCCTTCCTTCCCTCACGTCTAAACCTAGATCTTCACAAACGTTAAAGCGGTAGCGGGCAGGCGGGCCTAAGTCCGGTCTTAGGAACTCTCCGGGGAAACAAAGTGTTTCTATTTCCATACCATGGGACACAAAAGTTAGGTGTCTCATGCCTTGTACAAGCGTGAACACAGCGGCCCAGACTTTCTCCCAGATCTCAAAACCCAGGCAGACCCGGCTTGTATCAGAGGAAGACTGGGCGGCATAAAGCCAGCCAGCGTGGGTCCAGAGCGCCCCGCCCGACTTGCAGACACCGGCTTTCGGAAGCATCCTCAAGCGTTTAAAAAAAAAACTGTGCAAACTGGCATTTGAAGGGCACTTGTACCTCTGTTCTTTGCGAACTCCGGAATTATCCTGCTCTACTCTTGGTCCCTGATCTCATTCACTTCCTAAATAGGCGATGTTTCCGTCGCCAGACTGCTGGGCAGCCGGGAGCCCCGAGTGTGCCAAGGACCTGGGGCCGACCTGACTCTACGCCTCCACCCTGGAGAAGACGAACCTGGACTGCGCCTGACCGAGCCCACACCGAAAGATCGGCCCCCGGTAGGGACCCGTGCGCCGGGCTAGCACCGTGGGGATCCGAAGCCACGTGGCGGGACCTCGCATCCAGCAAGACGAGCACTACTTACCAGGAGCGCGCCGCTGCGGAAAAAGGGAAGTCGCCCTGCCCGACCAAGTTTAAAATGGGCCGGACAGCGAGCGGGTCGCAGCCAACCAGAGTGGCCCAGCGCTCCTCCCTGCCCGCCCCGTACCGGGTTCCCGCCCTGTACAAGCTCCCCCTGGCCCTCGCGCGCCCCCTGGTGGCCTCAGCCCCTTCTAGCCTGCCCCAACCCAGGGCATCTGTTCCACTCACCGCCCTGATTGCAGAAATCTTCCTCGTAGGTCTCGCTGAAGGTTAGAGGAGGATCTTGGCGCCACTGCAGTGTAGGGATCTCCGCCCACCCGCCCCTCCCGTGCTTCTTAAAGTCATACATTAGATTTGGTACTATACCACACCCTTTTGGGCTTATTCTCATTTAGAGACCCATGCCTGATTATGTAACAGAATTTGCTTCTGTTTGGGACGCTGTGGCGGCATGTGGAGTAGAATGGAATATCTTTGAAGAGAGGCTGATGCTAAGACTGTCCTCAGTCCTACTTTTACAAATATCTGCTTTTACCCACCATTGTCCCTGGAATTTTGAAACTTGAGGTGTTCTAGTAAATGGCGTTGAGACCATTTGCGTTAAGATTAAATTCACGTTTTGTGCCAAGTAGCGTGACTGGCATTGGAAGTGTGTGGTAGTTGCTTTTCCATTGCTGTGATAAAAGAGCTTGGCCAAGATAACTTAAAGAAGACATTATTTGGGGCTGGAGAGATGCCTCAGAAATTAAGAGCATCGTCAGCTCTTCTAGCGAACCTAAATTCAATTCCCAGAAACCACATGGTGGCTCACAACCATTTAAAATGAGGTCTGGTGCCCTCTTCTGGCATGCAGGCCAACACGCAGCCAGAACACTGTAAATATAATATATAAATAAAAATCTTTAAAGAAAGATTTTATTGGGGCTTATGGCTCCGAAGAGTTAGAGTCCACAATGGCAGAGTAAAGGCATGGGCAGCAGGAACAGGAAGCTGAGGGCTCACATCTTAAATCTAAAGCACAAAGCAAAGAGCGAATTAGAAATGACGTAAGTCTTGAAACTCTTAAAGGCCATCGCTAGAGCTACACGTCCTTCAAGGTCATAGCTCCTAGACCTCTCCAAACAGTGCCACTGAGTGCCACCAAGCTTTCAAATTCCTGAGACTATGGGAGACAGTTATCATTCAAACCAAGATTTTCCCTATTGAAGTGGAGCTGAGGGTATTGTCCAAAAGCAGAGTTGTCCTGAGTGTAGAATGAACTCCAGAAGCCGGGCGTTGGTGGCGCACGCCTTTAATCCCAGCACTCGGGAGGCAGAGGCAGGCGGATCACTGTGAGTTCGAGACCAGCCTGGTCTACCGAGCGAGTTCCAGGAGAGCCTCCAAAACAATACAGAGAAACCCTGTCTCGAAAAACCAAAAAAAAGAAAAAAGAAAAAGAAAAAAAAGAATGAACTCCAGAAGTTTCCTCCTCTAGGGAGAGCCAAGAATTAAGCCCAGAGCCTGGAAAGGATTTGAATGAGGCAGATGGCACTGTGTTCTAAATGCCTGTAACCCTGGCACGCAGGGAGAGGTGGGGCCGTTTCAAGATCAAGGCCAACCTGAGTGCATAGTGAGAATTGTTCACCTTGCAAAAAGGAGAGATGGTACCAAGGAATATACTGCCATTCATATATTCATATGCTAAAGCAGTAGTTCTTTTTTTCTTTCTTTTTTTTTTTTTTTCAAGACAGGGTTTCTCTGTAACTCACTATGTAGACCAGGCTGTCCTGGAACTCACAGAAATCCTCCTGCCTCTGCCTCCTGAGTGCTTGAATTAAAGGCGTGCACCACTAATACCCGGCCTAAAGCAGTGGTTCTTTAACTTCCTAATGCGACAACCTTTTAAGACAGTTCCTCAGGTTGAGGGGCACCCCACCATAATATTATTTTGTTGCTACTTTGTAACTGTGATTGTGCTACTGTTCTGAATTGTGATAATCAGGATATCTGATTTGTAGCCCTCAAAAGAGCTGAGAGCCACAGGTTGAGAACTCCTGTGTTAAAGTAACTGAGTAGTATTCATGTCCTAGGACCCAGCAATGTTTTGTTTTTCTAGGCAAGGTCTTGGATCAGGGCCTTGATCTGGTAAGACAAGCTTTCTTTTGGCATTGCTGGCTCGCCTCTCACTTACCCAGTGAACGATGTGCACCTCATGACTCCCAGGGCATCGGCAGTGTTGGCACCCCAGACCGATCAGGGAGAGTCTGTTTCCAGCTCCAGATGCAGCTGGGTCACCCTCTGGGCTCTTGTTTAGCCATCCCTCATCCCTTTCCAGAGGGAAGAATGTCAGCAGGACCCTGTGTTGATGTAAATGCTGAGGGGAAACTGGGTAGTCCACAACCCCCCATTCTGTCTGCCACGCTCTTAGTAGGAACCCGGTAGAGGTTCTCTTATCAGGAGGCAGAAACAGGAGCCTCTGAAAGCTACAGAATAAGCAGTCTGCTGGATACAAGTATCAACCCTAAACTTTCATGCTTCCTTTGATAGTACTATCTGAAAGGAAACCAGTGTTCCTTGTTAATCACGTGCAATACCATGATCCTGCACTTAACTCAGTGTGAATATTCAGTCCGCCCTCATGCTATGGCAGTTGGTACCCACTAGTTCATCCATCCTGAAGAAGATCCACAACCAATTTGGAGGCACTGGGGGCCTCATTCTCTTCCCGGTCACTGCCCAGTGCAGTGTTAAGTACTTGTAATCCTGATCCAAAAGTGGGTGGGGGCTGGGTGGGACAGTCTCCGTTCTAAACTCACAAGCTCAGCAGTAAAAAGACCAATTCTCCTCCCCAAGCTGGTTCTAAATGTGAAACTGGAAGAAAGTCTATTGTTATCATCTTCCTGGATCCTACCATGTCTTGATCTCTGTCTCCAGGAGGATCTGAGACTCTCCTATCCTCAATGGACTAGCCCACACAGATCATAGATTAACGACTCCATTCGTGGGCTCTTGTGTCTGTGCTTGGTGGGATATTTCAGCATGTTTCTGTAATGCAGAGTGAGAACAGAAAGCAACAGCAGGCGTTATTTATGGTTTAAGTGATCACCCCAGTTGGGTACATTTTTAATTGGGGTTATTGGGCAGTTTGCCATGTGTGGGTCCCTTCCCTGACAGCTTGCCTGTTCTGAGAAGCTGGAGACTTGTTTGCCAGCCAAGAGAATGTCTGCCCTTGATGAGGCAGAACGGTTTCATCTGCCTAAGTCAGCCTGAGTGGCTGCCTTGGGCAGCTGGAGGACGCCCTGGATACCTTGGGATATGATGTTCTTACTTATGATGCCAGCAGGGCTGCCAAACAGTCCACATAAAGAATCACCCCATCTCCATCTCCACCCCCACCCCCCGCCCCCATCCCCCACCCCCAGGTTTTCTGCTCACACACGGCAGCCTTCTAGTCCACAGTACTTTAGGAAGTGTGTGAGTAACATCTAAGATAAGGTGAAGCTGCATATTCAATGCACAGATCGCCACTGTAGATAAAAAGGGTACAGACTGGTATTCAGAGCGGAAGTCGAGTCTATGTGTGATTTTCTACGTGTATTCTGTGCTTGAAAAGGCTAGCAGAGGGTGTCAGCTTGCCTGCAGCTGGGCTTATAGACAGCTGTGAGCTACCTGGAGCAGATGCTGGGAACCGAACTCAGGTCCATCTTTCCATCCATGGAAGAGTAAAATTAAAACTAACCAACCAAACCAAAATCCCCACCATTTTAACTCCACATCCAGCCACAAAGAATCCACCTTTTTATTTCTTTTTACATCAGTACCCCTCAAAAGAACTGTCTACTATTCATGCTCTTGGTATGTTAAGCATCACAAGCCATCGAGGAACTGAAAATTGGAATGACACTGTGATACCACTTGCACACTTACCACAATGGCTAGAACCTAGAACTGACAATTTAAATGAGTGTGCGGATGAGGAGACCCATTCATTGCTTGTGGGAAAGCAACATGGGAGCATTCAGACGGCAGTGTGTAGTTTATTACAACACTAACTTCACTTTCACAGTGAGATCCAGCATTTCTGCTCCTTGGTATTTACCTAAGGGAGCTGCAAACGTCTGTGCACACAGAAAGCTACGCAGAAACATTTATATCAGCTTCATTCACCACTGTAAAATCTAAGAGCAACCAAGCTGCCCTTCGGTAGGTGCATAAACTATCCACACAATGGAATATTATTAGAGAAATGAGCTATCAAGTCCCTGAAGCTCCATATATTACTAAGTGAAGGACGTCAATCTAAAAAAACTCTATTTTATGTGATCAAACGACAGAACATTTAGAAAAGGGGAAAACTCGATAGGAGAGTGAGGGGTGAGTGAAAAGAACAGTATTATAGCACACAATAACTATTCTGCCTATAAGGGTGACCACACACCATTATATCCTTGTCAAAGTCCATGCAGCACGTGACACAGTGAACTCAGTGTTGGTTCACTAACTGCAAGTACACTCCTCTCCTATGGGCTGTTAATAGCATGGAAGGCTGTGTGTACAGGGAAGGACTGATGTGAGAACTCCCTATTCTCTGCTGGTTACACTATGAATTTAAAGGGGATAGGGACATGGCTCAGTGGTTAAGAGCACTTCCTGCTCTTCCAGAGGACTAGAGCTCAGTTCCCAGCATCTCCTCCAGTGGCTCACAGACACCTGTGACTCCAGCACCAGGGAATCTGATGCCCATTTCTGGTCTCAGCAGCCCTCTGCACCCATGCATACAGATGAAAAAATAATAATAAGTAAAAACAAATTTACTCTGAAAAGTAAAGCTTTGCTGGGTATGGTGTCTCCTGTCTGTAATACTAGTACTTTCAAGGTAGAGGTAGGAAAATCAAGAGTGCAAGGTGAGCCAGGTGTTGGTGGCGCACACCTTTAATCCAGCACTTGGGAGGCAAACAAAACAAACAAACAAACAAAAGAGGGCAAGTCAGCCAGCTGTGGTGGGCACGCCCTTA